TAGCCAAACTGAAGTTCGAATTCAGGGCTTGAGTTCACTAAGCAAATGCTCTGTCCTTTTAGCCACCCCTAACTTTTTTGCTTTGGTTATTTTTCAGGTAGGATCTTGTGTTTTTGCCCAGAACCATCCTCAGGCCATTGTCCTCCTACCTTTGGCCTCCCACATAGCTAGGATATCTGGCTTGTTAAATTGAGATGGAGTTTAGCTAACTTTTATGCTTAGGCTGGCCTTCAGCCTGGGTCTTTCTGATCTCTTTCTCCAAAGTAGATGGGATTATAGATATGAGCTACCATGCTCAGCTTTTATTTGTTCTTATTTGTTCATTGCATATTACTTATTCAGCAAACGTGTAATAGCTGTCCACAACATGTGGAACACAAGGCAAAGTCTTGGAGATGAAATTCTGGACAGTGCAAACTACTTTCCCTGCAAGTGTGGACAGATAATTACCACAGATCCTAATCACAGACACTGGACTCCATCACAGCAAAGTGACTTGACTAGGAGAAATCAGGGAAGCCTCAAAGATGGAGATGATGCTCAAGCTACATCTGGAAGGAGATATAAGCAGAAATAAAGGAGAAAGTGCTTTTCAGGTGGTATGCTTCTATAACCAAAGGTAGCAGGTGCTCAGAGCACTGGGGATTTTGCTAGGGAGACCACCAGAGAAGTAGGCTGGGGTCAGATTATAATTAGTCCCATAAAATCCACCATCATCAATGAAGAAATTAATGAAGAATTGAAGCCTGGTGCTGGTGGCTCACACCTATAATCCTAGCTACTCAGGAGGCTGAGATCTGAGTATCGTGGTTCAAAGCCAGCCTGGGGAGGAAAGTCCATGAGACTCTTATCTCTATAAACCACTCAGAAAACAGGAAGTGGCACTGTGGCTCAAGTGGTAGAATGCTTGCCTTGAGCTGAAGTGCCTAGGCCCAGAGTTCAAACCACTTGACTGTCAAAAAAAAAGGAAAGAAAGAAAAGAAAAGAAATTATTTAAGAATTTCAACAGCTCCAGAAGCAACTTAATTTATTTGCTTTTGAGGTTTATGAAATTAATGTTGTGGATATGCTCTTCTGTCAGTGTGGCTGACTAAACTTCAATGTTAACTTCAGCTAGCATTTTAAAGTATGTTCTCTGGTCGCTGGGCGACTCAATGGCAGTGGACCTACATCATCAGTTGCTATCCTTCGCATCTACAGGGAGGGGGAAGGGCTACCCATGCTAATTTAGTACAGTGCAGTCACCCCATGGAGCACAGGTGCTGTGCTTCAGCCACGTGCACATGGTGTCAGTACTGAACATGCACACACGGACTTTGTCCGTCTGCCCTTAACACTAACAATTATTTACATAGCTTATATCACTATTGGGCATCGTGAGATGACTTAAGGTATTTGGCAGGATAGGTGTTGGTTGGACATAGTCCAGATTGCCCCAGTGGATGCTGGGAAATGTGCCTTGCTTGCCTCCCTGCAGCTTCCCCTTAGTTGTTTGTATAGCATTGGATGCTCGTCATATTCCAGTCACAACTCCTCCCCACCAGTCTTCCTCTTTATCCAGACTTCATCTTTTTTTAACTTCTATTTTAAATTTTATTTTTTGAGCTTGTAGTACTTGAACTCAGGGCCTGGGCACTGTTCCTGAGCCTCTTTATGCTCAAGGCTAATACTTTACCACTTGAGCCACAGTGCCACTTCTGAATTTTGAGTGGTTAATTGGAGATAAGAGTCTCATGGGAATTTTTCTGCCCAGCCTGCCTTCAAACCAAAATCCTCAGATCTCAGCCTCCTGAGTAGCTAGGATTACAGGCGTGAGCACTAGCACCCAACTCTCCTCTCCTTAAAGCACCCCTCAACTCAGAATTTATAGGTTATGCTTGCCATCTTGTTTCCACCCCACCACAAACATTCCAAGCCTAAAGCTATTGTGGCAGCCATGTCTGTAGGTAGTCATTTCTCCGGGACTGAGAGAACCAACAAAATTGTAGGACTGGAAGTAATGTTTTTCAGATCACTTCTGTGATAAAGATGATCAGGCCAGGCGTCGGTGGCTCCCGCCTGTAGTACGAGCTACTCAGAAGGTTGACAACTAAGGATCATGGTTTGAAGCCAGCCAGGGTAGGAAAGTCTGTAAGACTCTCATCTCCAATTAGCTACCAAAAAAGCTGGGAGGGGAGCTGTGGCTCAAGTAGTAGGTAGAGCTCTATCCTTGAGCAAAAGAAACTCAGGGATAAGCACCCAGGCCTTGAGTTCAAACCCCAATACTGGCACCCTCCCAAAAAAAATTGCAATCAGATCATGTCAATTCTCAACTCAAACCTTTTATTGCTTCCTGTTGCAATTTAAATGAAGCCCAGATTATTCCCTTTTGGCTCAAGAGGTCCTGTCAGATCTGACCCTGCCTCCTTTACCAGACTTGTCTTCTCTCCCTCCCTCTCTCCCACTTTCCCCCTCCCTTTTTCACTCTCTCCCTCTTTGGTCTTCTCACGGTTTTCCAGGTTTTCCAGCCATACGTGGCCTCTTTTCATTTTCCCACCTTCCCAACTGGTGGTCTTAGCACAGACTGCTTTCATTGATGCTTAGGTCTTATCTAAGTATCTCCTGTAAGAGGCCTCTCTCTCCCTCACTAGGCTGTGCTCCAAGTGTTCCCCCAGTCTCTTTCTGTGGCCTAGTGTGCTAATGTGGCCCTTACCTAAAGACCCTCTATATCCCAACTGAGCCAGTGTTTTCCTTGGAACCAGACTCATGTCCTTCTCTTCCCTGTATGTTTCCAGAGAGTCCTAAAAAACATAAATCTGAATTGGTTTTTTTTTTTTATTAAATCTTTGACTTTTTAAAATTAAATCCTTGACTTTGAATAAGAGAACCTAGGCAAATTAAGGGGATTATTATTATTAGCATTAGCTTTTTTTTTTTTGGGTCCGGTCGTGGGGCCTGAACTCTGGGCCTGGGCGCTGTCCCTCAGCTCTTCAGCTCAAGGCTAGCACTCTACCACTTGAGCTACAGCGCCACTTCCGGCTTTTTTCTTTTTTTGCTTATATGGTGCTGAGGAATCGAACCCAGGGCCTCAGGCATGCAAGGCAAGCACTCTACCACTGAGCCACCTTCCCAGCCCCAGCATTTTTTTTTTGTCAGTTGTGGGGTCTGAACTCTGGGCCTGGGTGCTGTCCCTCAGCTCTTCAGCTTAAGGCTAGTGCTCTACCACTTGAGCCACAGAGCCACTTCTGGCTTTTTCTGCTTATGTGGTGCTGAGGAATTGAACCCAGGGCCTCATGCATGCAAGGCAAGCACTCTACCACTGAGCCACCTTCCCAGCTCCTATTTTTGGCATTTTTAAACTGTTTTAGAGCCCGGCTGCTGGTGGCTCATGCCTGTAATCCTAGCTACTCAGGAGGCTGACATCTGAGGTCATGGTTCAGAGCTAGCCCAGGCAGGAAAGTCTGTGAAACTCTTATCTCCAATAAATCACTAGAAGGGCTGGGAAGGTGGCTCAGTGGTAGAGCGCTTGCCTTGCATGCCTGAGGCCCTGGGTTCGATTCCTCAGCACCACATAAGCAAAAAGCAAAAAGCCGGAAGTGGCGCTGTGGCTCAAGTGGTAAAGCGCTAGCCTTGAGCTGAATAGCTGAGGGACAGTGCCCAGGCCCAGAGTTCAGGCCCCACAACCGGACCCCCCCCCCCAAAAAAAAAAAATCACTAGAAAACTGGAAGTGGAACCATGGCTCAAGTGATAAGAGCACTAGGCTTGAGCTGAAGAGCTGAGAAACAGCGTCAGGTCCAGAGTTCAAGCTCCATGACCGCCACTACCACCAACAAAAAACACAAAAAATCTATTTTAGAACAAAAAAAAGTCTATTTTAGGAAAGATAGGCTGAACACCCGTGGCTTTACTACAAAGCAAAATGTCCCATGTGGTTTATTACATGATTTGGTCTATTTTTAAAACAGAATGATAGCTTTTTAAAAATGGAAATCAAGCATTATAAAAATGAACTTCTCTCTCTAAATATATATACACACACATATTGAGCTCAACTCACTTACATGTTTAAATTCTTGGCTCTGCTTCTTAAACCTACTGCAAAGATCACATTAGAATTCAGTTTAATAGACATTGTAAGCACAGTATCCAATCTCACATTATCCTGCTGGGCTCTTTTATTAGGCGAGTCACAGGAAGCTAAGCCCGAAGCTGCTGGGCACATTGTGGGGTGTAGCCAGGGCTGGGAGTAGAGCCAGCTCTATTGTTTATGGAATATTCTCTCCACCTTTATCTGGGGGTTGCAATTGGTATTGACTTTTGAGAAACTACTTCTCTGACCTGATCTCCCAGTTGGAAGTAAAAAAAAAGCACCCTGCTGAAATGACATCTGTTTAGGAAAAAGAGAGAGAGAGATCAAAGTAGCATAAAGAAAGAAAATTAGGAGAAACCCTATTTAATAAGTAGCTTTATGCCCATCTTTTAGATCTGTTAGAGGCCAAGTTCAAACTTTCTCAAGGTCGTCAGTCCTTTATCCCTTAGAAAAATCTCCATGAACAGAAGGGTGTCTGCCATTTTCACGATGGATTGCTTAGGGTTGGACTTACTTAGCAAGTAGCCGAATGTCTTTTGTTTTGTTTTGTTCTTTGTCTTTTATTTTGGTCAGTCATGGGGCTTGAGCTCAGGACCTGGGTGCTGTCCCTGAGCTTTATTGCTCAAGCCTCTCTAGCACTTTGAGCTACAGCTCCACTTCCAGTTTTCTGGTGGTTAGTTGGAGAGAAGAGTCTCACTGACTTTCCTGCTTTCAAACCTCCATCCTCAGATCTCAGCCTCTTGAATAGCTAGAATTACAGGTGTAAGCCACCAGTTCCCTGCACAATTTTTTTTTTAACTCTAGGAATAAATACCATTTATGAACTTAAGACTATTGGTTTCTTTATGATACTTATTACTATTCATGTCTGTTTTTTTTTTTTTTGAGAGATACTCATCCTCACAATGAATTTTTTCCCCCGACTTCTAGGTTTATCACTTGAGGAATTTGTAAATATTGTTCGGAAAAAGAAGGAAGCTCAACTGTATCGGAATGAGATAAGACACATCTTCACAGCTTTTGATGTGCACTGTAAGTCTCTTTAAAATGTTAAAATGTTTTGATACTGAAAATTGCTGTTAAGGAATTAGAAATAGAAATGACTACTCAGGGAGTCAGATATGCAACATATACTTGGAGAAGTATTGTACTGTATTCTTTTGCTAATATCTTAGGTATTAGTGGGAATTTTGTTTCCTCTATTGTGATCTTAAGTTCTCGGCATAGACTATTGATGAGATAATATTTGCACTTTTATATAACATAGACTATAGCTCTGTACTTACATATTGTACCTGCACTGTGGTGACAGCATGGGTGGATATGGGCTAGGGGCACTTGTGAAAGGATAGGAGACTCTGCTTACAGCTCCTGCGTTGACCCACACGTGGCTGGGGAGTTGTTTCCCATACTGGCTGTGGCTGAAAAGGTGTCTACAGATCTCCAACCCCACAGATCCACCCAGAGAAGATGAATGGGGTTTCTAGACTCTGTGTCTTGACTGCTGTGAGGATTTCTTTCTGTATATTAATGTATCATAAATCTAATACTAAATAAGAAACTAAGTGAATGACTGAAATGTTTTTGGCAATTCACAGACTCAAAGCCTAATGGTATTAGGGCAGCCATAGCTCTAGATAGTCTTTTTCCCCAGGACTAAAAGAACCAGCCAAAGGGCAGTGCTGGCAATCACCTTCAGAGTAATTTGGGAATGTACTGAAGGGGAGAATTTCACTAGATTCTTAAATTCTCCCACCGAGGTCATCTCAGGTTACCTTCAATGTAAGCTCACCTATAAATCATTACTTTCTTTGTAACAGCATATTTAAATAAATATTTGGATTGAAGTAATAGTTCATAGAGTTTACAGAAGTAAGTGAATGTCATATGTTTTCAAATAGATCGTGGATTTTTAACTTTGGAAGATTTCAAAAAGGCATTTAGACAAGTGGCTCCCAGGTTGTCAGAGAGGACTGTGATTGAGGTGTTCAGGTAAGGCTCTTAAAATCTTGATGTCAGTCTTCACTATTTGATTGACCATTGTCTCTGTGAGTTTATAGTTTTATGGGGAAGTCTGTGCTAATTTTCTGCGGCTGGATACTTCCATCTCAACACAGTATTTCATAGCTCCTGAAAGGCAATCTGTAGTCAGCTGTGACTCCAGTGAGCACTTGGTATATTTACATTATCAATCAAAAAGTGTGAAAATATATTTTTGAATGTGGGTACTGACGTTCTCCCATGGTGCAGGGTACATGTGGCTCTTGAATTGTCTGGAGAAAGATGATGAGGGTGACTAATGATGGCCTTTGTTTGCTTTCTAAGCTGGCTGCTTTCTGCAGGCTGCAGTTCACAGATAGCTGATAAAGTGGTTTAAAGATTATATCATTATCAGCTGGGCTGATAATCCTAGCTACTCAAGAGGCTGAGATCTGAGGATCATGGTTCAAAGCCAGCCTGCAGGAAAGTCCGTGAGATGCTTATCTCCAATAAACCACTAGAAAACAGGAAGTGGCGCTATGGCTCAAGTTGTAGAGTGCTTGTGTTGAGCTGAAGAGCACAGGGACAGTGCCCAAGCCCAGAGTTCAAGCCCCATGACAGACAAAAAAAAAAATTATATTGAACTAATCCTGACAAAATGGACAAGTGGCTTAAAAGTAGTTTCTCTTAGAAATCCACAGATTGAAGATAATCTTAATAGCACAAGCTCTTGTGGATATGGGAAAATGGCAGGGCTCTTTCATCTCTGACATCTGCCATGAACTGTCACCATGTGTGTTAGTTAGGGTTTGGTGAGAGTCACTTCAGCAAAGATGTATATGCATTTCTCTCATGTATAAGAATGGCAACCCACATCTGCATGAAAGTAACATAGTTGTAAAGGACCTGGGTCTCCCTTTCTTGTTGCTATAGCTTCCTTATACATGGCTGCCCTTTGCTTCAAGATGGCTGCTTAAGTTACAGTCACCAAATCTAAATTCCAGCTAGTTTGTGGCAAAGGAGGCAGATCTGCACTCTTGTTAAAAGGCTGTATATTTATTACTCCTTCTTATATCCCAGAGACCAGTATTTCCATTGAGGCTATGTACCTCTGCAAGGGAGCAGGTAGAGGAGCTTAGAAAAGGTAGGTTCTGCTTTGAACAAGTTATCATGTACCCACTAGCTGAAGTTCCAAGGCTGAGAAAGGGGAGGGAACGGATAATGGGAGACATCAGATATTCTCATTAGAGAGAAAATTTAATGAGCCAGCCCTGCTCAGTAGAAATCACTGAACAGGTTAGTTGACTCAGGACTCAACATCATCACTACCACAGTGATATATTTGAAATTCATTTGCTGCACCTGCACAGTTCACAGGCAAACAAACCTGTACAAGCTACTGAAGAGGGGCAGAGAAGGGCTATACTTTATACTTGCTTCATTCAGTGAAAGTCAATTCTTTTAAGCATACTAGCATCTTTTTATATACTCCTTGAAGAGATGGGTAATTGAATAGCAATGTATTTCTACCTTCTAGAGGTTGTTTTAACAAGGAAAATGGAAAATCTTAACCATTTGCCTTTTAAGCTGTCCACATTTACTGACCATTATATGTTTCAGTGGTTATCATATATACTGCATTGTAGAGATTTTTTGAAAAATATACTTCCTTTCCTAGTAGAAGCAGTGTTTTAACAATGAGTGAGAAAAGTATCCATTCCCAGAAGAAACAAGTGAAAAATGAGAATGTATTCCTTTTAATATAGATATTTGAAAATGTGAATATATTAAAAAATGGTAGATGCCATATATTAAAAGTTTTCACATCTATACTCACTAAATTGGAAAGCGAAGGTTCTAATCTGGACTCAGAAAAGCTCATGAAGAGTCAATGGTTTTAGGGTACTTTTCTGTGTTTTGTTGTGTTTTTTTGACTCACTGGTAGTACTGGGGTATAAACTCAGAGCTTTATGCAGGCTAGCAGATGCTCTACTACTTGAGCTATGCCCCGAGTCCTTTATGCATTTTCGCCTGGGCTGGCCTAGATCATAGTCCTCATATTTATGCATCTTGTGTAACTGGAATGAGAAGTGTGCACCACCTGCCCAGCTTATTGGTTGAGATGGAGGTCTTGTAAGTTTTCGCCCAGGCCAATCTTGAATCATGATCCTCACCATTTCCACTGGGATTACAGGTGTGAGCTACTGTGCTTGTATCACATTTTTTTTAATGTGAAAGTTTTATAACTACTAAATTTTCATAAGTGACTGTTATATAAGGAAAGATGGACATTTGCTAGCTATGACAAAATAATAATAATAACATAACAACAACAATAATAATGTTTGAAAATCTTGTAAACCATTATTCAAGGATAGAATTAAAAACTGAGATCGTTAGGGCCTTTTCTCATTCAGGGATACATAATTGCATGAGACATCTATGATAGCCATTAAAACTAAGTATAAAACAAGTTGAAGTTCAAAGCCAGCCTAGACAGGAAACTCTGTGAGACTCTTATTTCTAGTTAACCACCAAGAAAAGACAGAAATGGAGCTGTGGCTCAAGTCGTAGAGCAACAGCCTTGAGCAGAAAAACTAAGGGACTGCACCCAGACCCACACTTCAAGCTGTAGTACTGGCACAAAACAATAATAAAACAAAAATAAAAACAAGTTGAACTTCAAGTTGACAAAGGATTAAAACAAAGATGTTCAGTATATCAAGTAACAGTTATTCTTAATGAATATTACTAGAAATCTCTAGTGACACACTCCATTTCTGTGCCTCCATTACCCTCCCAAAGACAGGTAAAGGAACAAACAAAACAGAAAAGAAAAGAAAAAAAATCTCTGTTCCTGTTTCCTAAAGTTCATTTTGATAAATACTATTTTCTATCAGAGGCACAGAGGCATTGTGCCTTGCATTCTCCCCTAAGAGTATCTTCCTTTGGTCTCACTGTGTGTTAATGCCTAGAGTCCTGTATAATTTATTATGTCCCAATTTATTTTAGATGTAGCTTCCACATATGAGGGTGAAACATATGCTGTTTGTTCCCCTGAGCTTGCCTTACTTCACTTAGCATGATTTGTTCTAGGTCCATCCATTTCCCTGCAAATAACATAGTATTCTTCTTTCTAATGGTGGCGTAAAATTCCATTGTATATAGGAACCACATTTTTTGGATCCACTCATCTATTGTAGGGCATCTGGGTTGTTTCCATAACTTGACTATTGTGAATAGTGTGGCAGTGAACGTGGATGTGCGTTTTTACAGAATCCTATCTTATGATGTTCTGGGTAATGCCCAGGAGTGGTATGGCTGGGTTGTAGGGAAGAATATTGAGTTTTCTGAGGAACCTCCAGACTGCTGTCCAGAGTGGTTGTACTAGTTTACATTCCCAATAGTGTAATAGAGTTCCCTTTTCCCCACATCCCCACCAACATTTATTTGGATTTCACAATGTTGGACAATCTAACTAGAGTGTGATAGACTCTCAGAGTTTAAACTGTTACATATTTTTAATTATATTAACATCATAAACCCAGAATAAATGATAAATAAAAATATTAAGTGATGTTGTAAGCTCAAAAAGGAGAGCAAATATTTGTTATAGAAATAGAGATGTGTAACACACAAAGCCCTATTTTTTTTGTACAGTTTTTAAAAATAAGAAAATAAGAATCAGCCTTTGAGACTTAGTGATGTAAACTTTGATAATGTTTGTTTTCAAGTCTACATTCATTGTTTGTTTTTGCTGGTCATGGAGCTTGAACTCAGGGCCTGGGCACTGCCCTGAGCTTCTTTTGCTGAAAGCTAGTTCTTTACCACTTGAGACACAGCACCACTTCCAGCTTTTTTGGTTGTTTATTGGAGATATGAGTCTCACAGACTTTCTGGCCCAGGCTGGCTCTGAACCGCAATCCTCAGATCTCAGCCTCCTGAGCAGCTAGGATTACAAATGTGAGCCACTCGTGCCCAGCAAGGCTAAACTCACTTTTTGAGAACCTGGAGTAGCCTTTGGCTTAATCTACCAATGTGAATAGAGTTCATTTCCCAGGCCCAGAGGCACCCAGAAGAAAGCTAATCTCTAAAGGTACTCTGTAGGAAGGCAACTAGAAAGGGAAATTTTAACTGAACTCCAAATCCTCTGTGGTTTGAATGACTGAAAAAAAATTAATCTTTACCATCTTCTACTCAATGACTACAAGTTTTTTCCCAAAGAAATTTCTAAAGATTGAGGAAATTCCTCATACTGTGTTTTATTTTGTAAACCAAATCAAGCTTCAATAAAACAATAAACAAACAAGTAATAAATGATTCAAAGAGACTTGGACATTATGCATCAAAGAGTCATTTCGCTTTCTAATGTGAGCAATAATGATGCATCATTCATTAATTCAGAGTGTCACAATAACTAAACAAGACATACATTTATTTATTTATTTATTTGAGTGGAAAGGTGATTTATAGCGGGATTACCATTACATAAGTAAGGTAATTAGTACATTTCTTTTCAGTGTTACCCCTCACTTGTTCTCTCCTGCTTTCCCTCCCCTTTACTCTCCTCCCCCCAAGTTGTAAAGTTCATTTCCAATATAGTGTCTACTGAGTATCGCTGTTGCATTGGTTCACCCTTTGTCCCACTGTTTCTGTGATTCCCCTTCCCTTCCCCAAGTCAGATAAATGTATCCACAAGACAAAGGGTACAGAAATCAAAAACAGTGACAACAGGGAATAAACCAAAGGGGGACAAAGAAACAACTGCAAACAGTATACTAGAAAAACCTCTTGTTTCCATTTCTTGGAGTTCATTTCAATAAGTATTATTTTATATGATCATATGCACGTAGCCATTGAGCCCTTTTAATCCTCTGCTAAAGCTATCCTAGACATGATTTTAGTTATTACAAATGAAGGAATCCAAGCAGCCAACAACCCATGAAGTGGGCTAAAGACTTAAAAGAGAGACTTCTCTGAAGAAAAAATAAGAATAGCCAATAGACATATGA